AGGGAAGAACACACTGGCATTTCTCAAGCTGAAAGAACTGAAGAAAAAATTCAAGCCTCAAGTTGCAATATTGGAGGATTCTATGGGCAAAATATTGAATGACACAGGAAGCATCAAAAGGAGATGGGAGGAATACACAGAGTCACCGTACTAAAGAGAATTTGTCAACGTTCAACCATTTCAGGAGGTAGCATATGATCAAGAACCAGTGGTGCTGAAGGAAGAGGTCCAAGCTGCAATGAAGGCATTGGTGAAGAACAAGGCTCCAGGAATTGACAGAATACTAGTTGAGATGTTTCAACAAATGGATGCAGCGCTGGAAGCACTCACTCGTCTATGCCAAGAAATTTGGAAGACAGCTACATGGCCAACTGACTGGAAGAGATCCATATTTGTGCCCATTCCAAAGGTGATCCAACAGAATGCAGAAATTATCAAACAATATCATTAATATCACACACAAGTAAAATTTTGCTGAAGATAATTCAAAAATGGTTGCAGCTGTACATCAACAGGGAACTGCTAGAAATTCAGGCTGGATTCAGAAGAGGACATTGAACAAGGGATATTATTGTTGATGTCAGACGAATCTTGGCTGAAAGCAGAGAATACCAGAAATTTGTTACCTGTGTTTTATTGACTATGAAAAGGCATTCAACTGGTGGATTATAACAAATTATGGATAACATTGTGAGGAATGGGAATTTCAGAACATTTAATTGTGCTCATGAGGAACCCGAACATTGATCAAGAGGCAGTCATTCGAACAGAACAAGACAATACTGTGTGGTCTTAAAATCAGGAAAGATGTGTGTCAGGGTTGTATCCTTTCACCATACTTATTCAATCTGTATGGTGAGCAAATAATCCGAGAAGCTAGACTATACGAAGAACGTGGCAACAGGATTGGAGGAACACTCATTAACAACCTGCCATATGCAGATGACACAACCTTGCTTGCTAAAAACAAAGAAGACTTGAAGCACTTAGTGATGAAGATCAAAGACTACAGCTTTTAGTATAGATTACATCTTAACATGAAGAAAACAAAAATCCTCACAACTGGACCAATAAGCAACATCATAATAAATGGAGAAAAGATTGAAGTTGTTTTACTTGGATCCACAGTCAACCCAGCAGTCAAGAAATGAAATGACATATAGCATTGGGCAAATCTGCTGCAAAAGACCTCTTTAAAGTGTTAAAAAGCAAAGATATAACATTGAGGACTAAAGGTGTGCCTGACTCAAGCCGTAGTATTTTCAGTTGCCTCATACGCATGTACCTGTTGCCGTTAAGTCGATTCTGACTCATGGTGACCCTATAGGACAGAGTAGAACTGCCCCATAGGGTTTCCAGTGAGCACCTGGTGGATTCGAACTGTGGACCTTTTGGTTAGCAGCCAAACTCTTAACCACTATGCCACGAGGTTTTCCCATATGCACATAGAACGAACAAATCTGTCTTGGAAGAAGTACAACCAGAATGCTCCTTAGAAGCAAAGATGGTGAGACTACGTCTCACATACTTTGGACATGTTATGAGGAGGGACCAGCTCCTGGAGAAGAACATCATGCTTGGCAAAGTAGAGGGTCAGTAAAAAAGAGGAAAACTCTCAACAAGATGGATTGACACAGTGGTTGCAACAAGGAGCTCAAGCATAACAACGATTGTGAGGATGGCACAGGACCGGGCAGTATTTCGTACATGGGGTTGCTATGAGTCTTGGAACCGACTCGACAGCACCTAACAGCAACAACAATATGCATATGAAGGCTGGACAGTGAATAAGGGAGACCCAAGAAGAATTGATGCCTTTGATTTATGGTGTCGGTGAAGAATATTGAATATACCATGGACTGCCAGAAGAACGATCAAATCTGTCTTGGGAGAAGTACAGCCAGGATGTTCCTTAGAAGCGAGGATGATGAGACTTCGTCTCATGTACCTTTGACATGTTATCAGGTGGGACTACTTCTCTGAGAAAGATACCATGCTTGGAAAAGTAGAGGGTCAGCAGAAAAGAGGAAGACCCTCAACGAGATGGAGTGGTACAGTGGCTGTGACAGTGGGCTCAAACATAGCAACGATTGTGAGGATGGCACAGGACCAGGCAGTGTTTCATTCTGTGTTACATAGGGTCGCTATGAGTTCAGAACCAACTCAATGGCACCTAACAACACCAATGACTAGTGATGTTCATCTTTTCATGTGCTTTTGGCCATTTGTATATCTTCTTTAGAGAAATGTCTGTTTAAGTTGATGATAATCTTTTAAGTATTTAAATGCTAATAGGAAGAAACTTTAAGAAAGAGAGATAGAGACTGAGATACAAGCAAGAGGACTGATAATAAATGGAACAGGGTCCATGGGAAGGTGTCAGGAGACTGGGCTGAGAGCACAAGTGAGGGACTTAGCCTTGGACAAAAAGACTGACCCTTAGATTGTAAGAGGAGCAAAGAAGGAAAGGATGAGCATGTATGTTGTTAACTTTGTAGGTTAGGATATAGGAAATTGGAGAAATTCTTACCTGGAGGCAAGGTTTTCTGATGAAGATAGGGAGGAATGAGGTTTGAGAAGTGGGAAGGTTGAGAATGATCTATAAAGGGAATAAAAGAGACTGCTGAGTGGTTAAGTATAACTGTACTTTTCAGGCAGATTTGAAGGCCCAGTTAAGATTGGAAACTATATGTTAATAGTGACATCAGTTTGTGCTTTTTAAGTTTTTTTATTTTCTCAATTGGTTATATGGCCAGAAGAGACACTAGTTGGATTGATTTTGGATTGAGATTTTGCCAGGGAGAAGTAATGAGGTTAAGCGGAGAGTTCATAGTATTGGCAAAATTCATCAAAGTAATGGGCCGTGAAATCTAGGCTAGATACTGATTCCAGGCCAGAACAAATCAATTAAACAAATGATCAATCATGGACTCTAACGCAGGGAAGGAATGACCCCCAAATATAAGATCAAGTTGTTGTCAGCAGAAGAAAGAGGAGTAAACTTGAGACAGGCAGAACCTGTAGGTGTTCATTATAGGGTCTAAGCAAAGTAGGGAATAAAATGAATGTAAGAATGATGGGCTGTGACTGAAAAACAGTGAGAAATGGAGAGCTGTGGTGCCTAGGAAGCCTCAATAAAGTTGAGGAACAGATGTATTAGATATAACTGAGTGAGAGGCCTAGAACGAGGAACAGTTGTATTTAGAGAGTGGGGTACCTGGATTTTTATTTCAGAGTTGATGCTGTGTTATGATAAGGACTAAAATGTAACAGTGGGAAGACTGGAAGAAAAGTTTTTTACTCCCTCCTACCACCCCCTTCTGAATTAGATGCATCCTCTCTGAGTATTCTGTCACAGCCCTCATCACAGCACAATGTATTTATCTATTGATATATCTTTCTTACTTGAACTGTGCTTCTTAACAGATAGTGTCTTAAATCAAGTATTTCAAAATTATAAAAGTGATTATTTCCGGATGGTGGGATAATGTTTTTTTTTCTTATTATTATGGTAAAAATATATATAGCAAAGTATTTGCCAATTCAACTATTTTCGTATGTACAGTTCAGTGACACTGATTATGTCCATCATCTGCCACCATTACCACCATCCTTTTCCGAGTTATTCCACCACCATTAACGGAAACTCAGTGCCACTAATCAACGACTCCCCCTAGGATTATGAGTTTTCTCTGAATTTTATTTTCTCTACAGTGGATACTGTTTTTCCAATTGGAAGAAAGTTTTTTTTTTTAAATCTTTTTAATTCATATTCTCACAATAAAAGCATGAGAACTGAAGCCAGTATTTTTCACTCTTCCTCAGACTTTTTTTTTTCCTAAGTGTGCAAAGGGACTTTCAACTCTTCTTATTACTTTAATATTCAGCCAGCAGTAGTTTTCAAACTTCAGTGTGCATCAATCAGAGTCACTTGGAGGACTGATTAAGCACATTACTGGACCCTCATCCCAGGGTTTCTCTTTCAGTAATTCTGGGGTACGGCTCAAGATTTGCACTTTGCATAAGTTCCCAGGCAGTAGTGATGGTGTTGGTGTGGGGACTTCACTTTAAGACCAACTGATACAGAGAAAAGATATGGGTAAACATAACATTTCAGTTCTCAGGAGAATGAAGTAAACAGGGAAATCACAAAGTCTCTCAGCAGGACATCCCCACCTTTCTAATTGGCCCTTTCCTTTTGTCCTTCAGATAGAGGGAAACAATAGAAGATTGGGATCATTTGAGTCTGCCCCTGACATTTGTCACAATCAGAATTCTATCCCCTTCTCCTCCCACCCCTACACACACCCTTTGGATCTTCTCTCTTTGCAACACAAGGGTGAGAGAGGCTAAGACATAGCTGTGTGTGTGCATGTGTCATCATTAAACATTAGCCAGTTAACTCTGGCTAATATTAATGTTGCCCACGTTTGTTCTTTAGAGATAAATAAGTACTTAGTGTTGGCATTTTTACTGAAAAGTCAGTGGTTTTAACTATTTAGCCACATTTTTAACCTAAAGTTTTTTTTGTTTTTTTTTTAGTGGTAAGAATAAATGATACTGTGGTTACAATAAACATGAGCACCAGATTTTAGATCTCTTAATTTTAAATGAAGACACTATTCTAGCCTGAAAAAAGAAAAAACAAAAACAGTTCCAGACTGAAATGAAATGGAGAGACAGTAAAATTTTATTTTAATCAATTGTTTTAATACTCTGCTATCTTAGAGTTATATAACAATGGAAGATAATGCTGGGATGCTTGGTTCATGTTGAGAATCAAAATGATACAAATATTTTGTTTAAAAAATGGTGATATACAAATCAGCATAAAGGTTTAGTATGATTTAAAATAGGAAAATGTTCTTTTACATTTGCTTCTAAGTTTAATGAAAGTTTATAATTATATCATGGCTGGGTGTTCATGTTTATTTGTAACTATATGATGTAGAATGTCTTTTTCGCCTCATTGGTTATAATCATTTAAATCTTAATTTCAGTTGATGAGTAAAGAATCCCCTGTCTCTGTTGGAAATGATGCCTATGTTGACCTTGATCGCCAGGTATCTACTTTTGCATTGTTTTTGTTCATATGAAGATTAAAAAGGACAGATTTTTGATACTAATGAGAAGAATGGTTCAGTTGAAATTTCTTATGGATATATTGCTATAATTCTCTAAAACATTATATTTTATGTAAAATTTAAGAACTTAAGCCATTTTACTAATGGATGTTACATATTTGTAATTAAATACAACCATCTGTTGCATAACACAATTTAAAATAAGTTAACTTCTTTAACTTATTATAATTTGTATTTTCTAGTCATGCGTTTTCTTTTCCCATTAGGGATATTTATATATTACATTTAACATAAGAGATACATTCCTGGAAAACAGCATATATTTAATCTTATAATTTTTACAATGTGAAAGATATTTCACCTTTTTTTCCGCACCTTATTCTTCAATTGAAAATATCTCTTCTACCCTACACTTCATCTTTATAAAAAGTACAGGCAGTCCCCAGATTACAAACAAGTTCGTTCATAAATCTGTCTTTAAGCTGAATTTGTATGTAAGTCGCAGCAAATAAGTACAGTTCGTATCTAACGTCAGTCAAGTGTTTGTCTTAGCATATAGTATATAGTGTACTTTCTATGGAAAAAAAAAAAACAAAACACTTCCAGATACACTAAACCATCTTTAACATAATACTACAATAATAATAATAATGTTTAGATGTGTGTCGCAAAGTAGCACCCATTTGTTATTATGAACCACTCTATGTACTTCGAATTTTTAACAGTCTTTATGAGGGTTGGTTCACAACTGTGGGTTGTATATAAATCAGACATTTGTAACCTGGGGACTGCCTGTAGTGAATAATCTGTCAGTAGATATTTAAATGCACTAAGGGAAGTACTGTATTTTTAAAGAAACTCTACAATGTATTCTTATGGATTTAACAGAAATGTGATTTTGTAATTTTATGATTATTTCTTAATAAAATACTGTTAGTTACATTGTCAGTTTCTGTGCTCAAGCTACTCTGGGACATCTGTTCCAAGGCATGAACAGAAATCTTTATACTCTTTGTCTTCTCATTTCTTCCCCATGGTTTCTAAATGTTTTCCAGGAATATCTTTGGACATGCTATAATTTTAGCCCAGGTTGTAATTTGTCTTTCTCCTATATTGTAGTGTTTGATTTTAAAGTTGTTTAGAGTTAAAAATACTTTTTTTATATATCTATATTATACAGATGTTTGCTCATCTGAAATGAAGAAACAGTAAAATTTTATTTTAATTGTTTTCATACTCTGCTAACTTAGAGTTTATATAACAGTAGGTGACAACGCAGGGATGCTTGGTTCTTGTTGGGAATCAGAATAAAAATATTTTATTTAAAAAATGGTGATTTACAAATTAGCATTAAATTTGAATATGACTTAAAAACTTTTATTAAGAATACACTAGCTATATATTTTAACAATTGGAGCCCTTGTTCCTTTAGCACATATATACTTTACCAAGCAAAATTTCTCATTCTGTAATTAGCATTACCAAGAACCAAATCAAAACAGATGTGTGAGAAAACTTGATGTGGGGAAAAGAGCAAAATTCAAAGGGCAGAAAAGACACCACTTAGGACTAAAAGAAAATCAAAATTATAAGCACTTTCTTTTGACTCTTGCAGAAGTGTTCTTGATCTCCCCCCACCC